AAAGGCAGAAGGAAAATTTATTCTGGTGCCAGAGCTTGGAACGAGGGCACATGACAAAACGCTCAATCACACCATCATACTGACAGCCAAATAACGAAACAGAGTCTCGCTAGTGAACAACTACAGCAACGGACATTGGCGGAGACAGGGGAAGACACAATCGGTCCAGCATCTGTCCAGGGTGGACCTCAAGGGCCGGTGGTAAGGTCATCATAAATACTAACAATCCTGCAAGTAACGGTTGGGACGAATACTCAAATATCAACAGGCTAACTGCTAACGCAGATACTTGGACAGGAGGGGGGGGGGGGGGGTACAGGGAAAGATGAATAAAGAATGACATAATAAGTAGGTAAGCATATGCGAGTAACCTGGGGCTGTAACACATGGGCAGATAAACCCAATGGCTGGTAATAGAAGCAGCAAGACTTCACACCGAGTAATATAAGATGGGCAAGATGAGAGTGCAAAGGCATATATACCGATGCAAGACGTAGACTGTACCTGCAGTCAAACGTTACAATTAAGGCAACACCGAGAGCAAGCAAAACAAAACAGATTTGCTGCACTATTTCAACGACTTTATCACAAAACACGCATACGCATTAAGTGACAAAGCTGATAAAGGGTGAATGTAAATAAATCAATGGGTCAAGTAAAGAGTTCCACGGGCCAGGAATAAACGATGATTTCGGGGAAATATCTAACCGCCTCAACCCAAGGAGTTCTCACTCAACATAGCGGACGGTCTAGAGTCGTGCTGAACATCGCAGATACCCACAAGAGTACTGGCGTGAGTGTCTTTGACAATGCTAGCCAGGTTAGCAATGATTAGTGTCCGGCCATCTAGAAAGCGAGCGCGGAGCTTTTTTTGTCGCCAGATAAGCGTCCTCATAAAGCAGCAGGGTTGCAGCTGAGACAACAATCACTCATTGCGCGAAGCTCCCCGCGAAGGATCAATGTCATGTGATTGGATAGCGGTGTGGATGCAGTGCCGGTGTTTCAGCCGTCAATAGCACTACATCGGAGTGAGCGCACGGTGCATTGCTACCACAGATGCAGCTGATCTCAATAGTGTAGCTACTCACTGGTACAATCACTGGAGATACTGCGCACACAAGTGCACAGGCAGGGCAGGGCATTGCGCGAGAGAAGTGGAATGAGATGCCAGCAGGCATCATCATCATATGTGCGAGAGCGTGAGAAGCGGAACAGCAAGATGCTAGTAGAAAGCAGGCATGATCATGTGCGCATTGCCTGGTAGGGATCCAGTCTAACCACTGTACGTGCTGCCCCCAGGGCTTGTTGCTGATGAGCGGTTGATGAATACATGGGTCCAACACTCGACAGGGTAGGCGACTGATAAGCCACAGCTGATGGCGGTCCGGTTAACAACACTTCATTCGGAGCGACGGGATTGGATGGGAACACAAACATCGGCTGCGGGGGTCCAGCAATGGCCGGGGCACTGAGTGGTGTGTGAAGGGTTCCGCTTAGAGAAGCCGCCGCAACGGGAACGCCGGTGATCAGTGGCGTGATGAACGGCGAGGCCAAGTTCTGATGCTGTTGCTGATGCTGAACAGGACCTATTGAGTCGGGAGACGGCACAGACTGTAGATTGGACATCGACAGGGAGCTACCGGTGTAGGACTGCGTTCTTTGGTGATGGACAGGAAGACCTGCATCGAGTCCATGCCTAGCACCGTCACTGCCCATCATTGTTGGCTGGAACTGCTGCCGAAATGTTCTGTCCAGCACTTGATCTAATGTAGAGGAACTGGATGAGTAGACACCGGTTGATGCAGCCGAATGCTGGTGCTGATGACACGTGACAAAAGAAGACGCAGACGACGGCTCATAATTACACGTGTCCAGCACCTCTGATGACATCACCTGCTGGATGGGGTGCGAGTGCAGGCCACCAGGCGGCGTGTTGCCCAGAGACAGAAAGCGCGAGCGAGAACCCGCCACACGGACTTTCTCCGAACTGCCACGCGGCTGCTTGACCAGACGACTGCTGCCAGTGCCGCTGCTGAAGCTCTTTGACAGGTTGCGGTGCAACAGGACAGATGATGGATCCATGGCGTAAACATCAGAGGCTTGAGAAGATTCAATGCAGCTGTACTGGGGACTGAAATACTTGGCAGATCTGTTTGAGTATGCAACCTCATGACCATGCCGACTGCTGGGAGCTCCAAGTGGTAGGTCTTGCCAGTCGCTGGGACTGGCACCACGCGAGTGATCAGGCGCAGATGAACCAGAGCTGCGCGCAGATGATCCATACACCATCTCCGAAGGAAAGTGGTACATGGATGACTGCTCTTCATACGGCGGTGGCTGGGCTCGAGTTGCAATCATGTTGTGAGCGCCAGCATGGCTTAAATTAGACATGGAGTTCGCCAGCGACACAACTGTCGAGTCACCAGCCATGGGAACATTGGACACCACCGAACTGATATGGCCAACGTAGGCAGTGTTGGGAATGCTCGATGCCACTGGCCAGGCCGGCCGCGACACGCTCGTCCACTCAGTCATGGTGGGATCAGCATGCGTCGTGACCGGACAGTCCTGCACGGTAGTAGCGGCAGCGCCCGCAGGCAGTAGAGCTGGCCCACCAGGTAATGTTATCAGAGCCGCCGGCATAGATTCATTGCCCACATTGCTCGTGTCAACGTAGCCAGGTAAGGTAGGAAGCAGCACTTGAGGCGGTGCGTCTACACAGTACGGCACCCGTAGTGGCATGGGTACGATGGGCGCATGCACGTTCTCACGACACGTATGCGTCGGCGTGTTGAGGAACACCTGGCCACCGTTCAAGCGTTGAAAGACTAAGTTACGCGCCTGCGTCATCGGATCCATAGCAGTAGTTGGCAGGGCTACCGGAGAGTGAGTTATGGTCAACTGAGTCTGTGGTGACTGCATGGGCGTGAGAACAGTAGCCACGCTGGTTGACTGCACCTGCACAGTATGCTGCTGTTGCTGTTGTTGCTGCTGGTGGTGGTGATGGTGATGGTGATGTGTACGATTGTTGTGCACAGGACAAAAGCGATGAGTGGCGGTGGGCTTGTCACAGACCGCCATGGGTTCCAAGGCCATCTGAACAGCACGCTGGTGAGCATGGCTTGCGTTGCTAAGTGCTGCCAGATGAGAGCCAGTCAGGAACGGCTGATTGAGAACGTTGGCAGGCTCAACACGCGCCATCGGATCGATGGTTAGCATGTGCCGGAGCAGGCGCACAAATTCTTCCTTGTCGGCTATCTCCACATCCTGCTCGGCAGCATCAAGGCCCTGCGGAAGAGAAATGCCAGTCATGTCAGCTAGGCTGTGGAGAATGTACTTCCGTGCCTCCTTTGGCTCGTCACCATTGCCATGACTTGGGTTCAGCATCCAGCCGGAGAAATTCTGTCGGAAAAATTTCCGCCTCTTGGCCGACTCCTCAATCATACACGGAGGCACCATTCCCACAGTTTCGACTATGTACTTCATCTGCATGTACTCCGAAGCTCCTGGAAACAGTGGCCAGCCAAGAAAGAGCTCCGCAATAACACACCCTAACGACCAGACATCAATGGACTCGGCAAACGGCAGACTTAGGATCACCTCGGGCGCACGGTAATACCGGCTTTGCAAGTATGTGGAGCTGACCGCCTTGGACGAATGCAGGGCACTGCCAAAATCGATGACTTTGATGCGGTATGGCAATCGGTCCTGGTCAACAAGCATGATATTCTCAGGCTTAAGATCAGCGTGAATGATGCACAGATCTTTTAGCTTGCACAGTGCAGTGGCGACCTGTTGAAGAATGGGTCGTATCGCCTGCAACCGCATCGGTTGGAAGTTGCTCTGCTTCAGGAAGTCATACAGGTTGAGTTGCAGCATTTCAAACACAACGCAGGAGTGGCCACGGTGTGAGAACCACTCACTAGATAGCACAAAGTTGTACCTGTCGGCACAGAACACATTCAGAGCCCGTAGAATGCTGACTTCCACTTGGCCCTGACGTACATACGACGGGTGGTTTTTGAGGATCTTCACGGCAACATAGTCTTGCGTCGTTTTGTCAACGCATTTCACAACTTGACCGAACGTGCCACGACCCAGGAACTCCACCACATAGTAACGGTCATTCAACATTTCATGTTGAACTAGGTTATAGTCACCATACTTGGCATCAGTACTGCTCTGTCCATCACTACTACTAGCACCAGTGCTACATACGCCATTCTCCACATCCACAATGTCGTTTCCTGAGTCCACCTCGCCGTTCACCAGTAAGTGGTTTACAGCAGTGTTCAAATGCTGCTCTCCTGCCACTCGTCGTGCTGACACGATTTCAGCCTGATGCATTGTCGTGGCATACCGACTCTCCTGGGGCAAGTCGGACACCACTGACCCAACTGCAAACGCAGGAACCGTCCTCTGCATGCCGCAGAAGCCAGCCTGCTCCGTGAAAGTGGAATTTTGAGAATCCAAAATCAGGTCCTTCACCCTTGGCTCGGCAAAGGTCAAAGAGGACCGAGAAGTCTCATACGACAAATAGTCACACAGCGTTATAAGCTGCGGCATTGTTCAGAGAGCATTTTTCGGAGGCCGTGAGAAGAGCTACAGTGGAAACGTGGCTCTCCTGGTCAGCATCTCCTCTGAATCATGGTAGTGTCGTATCACCACAGCGAGGATAAATGGGTGATGCAGATAGCAGTAGCATAGATATAAATTTCCTTGCAATGTTCAATATTGAATCATTAGCTTCACCAAGACAATTATTATTTCACTGTTCAGGGACAACGAAGTGAATTCTACAGAAGAAGCTGCTCTGCAATTGGAACGAGAGTTGCCTCACAATTATCATTGAGGACACGAACAGAATGATCCATGCACAAGAAACAGTAGGTATAAAATAGTTCTGCGAATTAAAAGCGGGGCTCCAGTTGTTGTCGCGAACCCACAACAGTCAACACGGTACGGATGGACCACGATTTCGTCAGTCACGAATGTGGATTCGTCACAGTACGAGTACGACTGACCGAACTCCTCAGTTTTTGCAGCATGACCATGTGGCACTGCGAGATCCCGGCACGATTTTCCCGCGGGACAAAGTGCGCATGCGTTAGCCCGCACCCGGTCGCGCGAGCGCTGGTAGCTCGCTATGTGGCCTAGCGGAGTTGAGAGGTGTTGTGCCCTCGCTAGCTTGCTCTGCGTCGGCGCGGCTGCGTGACCGTGCTTGGCTTGGACATCAGTTGTCTCGAGTCAGTCGGGCGATTGTCAACGCCGACAGAGCTGATTACGGTAGAGTGGAGTTCGCTTTTCAGGCTTCAGCTCCAGGATACCAATGAATCGATAGTCGCTGACCGTGGCCTCTCACACTTTGTGCCGGCGTGAGTGCGTTCTTCGCAAGCAAATCCGCTTCGTGTGTTCTAGTGACCGGCTGGTGGGGTCGCTGTGACTCATCCCTATCGATGGCATGCCGCGCCAGCGCAAAGTGCTGCTTGCTGTAGACTTTCCACGAGTTTGTGCAGACGGTAGACCCGCTGTACATCTTTGGTGTCAGCCAACGCTGCACAGTGTTGCGTTGCTGGGGTCATCAACGCAATGAACGGTGCGGAGCTAAAATTTGATAGTTTCTTTGCTTTCAGCCTAATTCAGGGAGTGACTACTGCTGTAAGCAAACCGACTACTACGTCAGTTGTATGAACAATGCGCTTGGCTTGAACTCTTGTCTTGAGAGCTTCGTTGACATGCTGCAACAATAATAATGTTGATACCGAACAGTTTCGCCGGCTACGGGCTAAAGCTAGCTGCATGGTATGTCTGGGGAAATGTCATGCATGTGAGGGTGATGTGCTGGCTAGGCTAGGTCACAGTATAGTAGGTGTAAAGTGCAATGCCGTGTCTAATGATTATGACTGTGTTGTCCTTATCATTAATTATGGGCATGGCTATTGCACTGTATTCCTGTTGGTCGTATAAGGTATAGCTAGAGGCGATATCCATGCCCATGGCTGGTATGGCGTCGAGGATCAGTTTGTCGCTGTGGAGGGTGGTCCTGCTGTTTGATGCATGCTTTTTCAACTACAATGTCAATGACTATGTTACTATGTAGTATTTCTTCACTGAGCGATCATGGATTATTTGCGTATCCGAATGGCCATGTACATGTAACGTTAGTTGTGAAACCGTTGACGCGTTGTGGGTTTCTTCAAGCCACGGAGTGAGGTTACGTAACGGGGCTGTTGCTGTGCGTGATCTGTGTACAACACTGTCTACGTGTGTCGTTGTTAATTGTAGCAGTATGCACGATTCTTGCACCAAGTCAAGTGGCAAGCCCTGGCTGTGCCAGTGGCAGTGGTGTTGACTCTCTCATTGTCTCGCGTGCTGTCTCTGGTTAGTTGCAGTTGGACAGATGTGGTGGCAGGGTTGTCTGTATGTCGACTGTGGCTTGTCGCCTATGTAGTCATTGAGTGTGGTGTGTGGCCACCAGGCGTCCCGGGCTTCGAACAGAACCACGCTCGGCCGGCACTGATATCACTTGACTTGGCTATCGGCTCTGACGTAGCAATGGAAATAGTGACCAGTGGTGCCCAGGCCAAGAGTCGACCCCACTAACCATGCTATTTAACCGGGCTTTTGTTTCTAATGGCAATATCCAATTACTAGGAACCTGCTGCTGCTCTAGAAAGTGCTGGGAGATTTACCCATTTATTCGTTTAACGTCATACTGTTCAGACCAATCTTGATCTTTTTTTCGTCCCTCTTGCTATCTCATCATGCCTCCGCTAATGGAGGGCGAAACGAGGATGACCCTCCACTCGTACTCTTCGTTATTGTTGTAGTCGGGACGCAGTTCAGCGGTCACGTCATTGTTGTAATGTTATTGTTGACTATCCTGTTAGTAGTGTTAGTGCTGTTAGCTGGATTTTTGTCACGAAAGTAATTGCAGTCTAATGGATTGTTGTCAGGTTGCCAAATGACTAAGAGTAAGACTAAGAGTGCTAAAGATCTACTCGTAGTACTAGTACTCCTGACCATACTACACTTCAGCAAAGCATTGGAAGAACTAAAACTCGTATTAGTTGAGGGAGTGGAAAAGGGAGAGGTCTGAAGGAACTGTCACCAGCAGGACTCGAACCAGCTAGGGACGTTCGCTTGAGACCAGCGATGCTCTAACCACTGAGCTATGGAAGTCTTGTCAATTATTTGTTTGGAGATACATGTAACACGATGTGACGGTATGTGCCCGGACAGCTGGACAGGTGCATTACACTTTTTTTACAGTGTACTTAGCGTTCTGCAAGACGAGGACAGTAATGTGCTGGTCACCGATCCACTTCAACCGCATACCCTCTCTCTAGACGTCTCCCGTGAAAAGGGAACGCATTAGTTGTTGAATCCTAGAAATCCTTTCATCTTTCATCATTGCTGCTCAATGAAATCCGATCCCATGCACCATGTGCGCGGGCCAAGTAAGTATAAAGTGTGTGCCCTGCGCATGCGCCTGTGGTAGTGCTCACAGCGCCGCCTAGCTGGCCTGGTGCTGACTGGTTGATCGGATTTCACTGAGCAGCGTACGAGACTCTAGCACTCCCAAAATAATGCAGTTCTACAAGAATAGCGAAATGGTCCGTAGTGTAAAGCCAGCGGGGGCCATATACCATTATACATGTACATGTACATGAAGTAGAAAGACTGAAAGTACAAAAACTTGAAAAAGGCTGAAGGGAAGAAGAGTGGCAACCGACTACAGTGAAGAAAGTTGAAGTAGAAACATTGTAATTGTTGTAACGCTGCGTTTCAGGCACGTGACAATGGTTATGTACATGGCATTGAAGTTTTTTTTTTTTGTTACCTGCAAAATTAATCATGTTGAAAGACAAAAAGTACATTGGCGCTGGGTAGGCGCTATCCACAATGCCAGCTAATAAGTAATAGCTGATGAAGTAACGTAATAACACGTTAGTAAGGCTTCGTTTTGAAGTGTAGCAGCACTGCAGCAGTATGCCGAGTCCATGCAGAATGGCGTGGGTGAGAGGAGAGAGAAAGCAGCAAGGCAACCAACATCATTCTAATAATTATGAAATATGTCACAATAACATAAAGGCAATCCTCAGACAAAGAACTCAGTAAATGTCCGAGGTCGTGAGGATTGCATTCAGTTCTGTAGCATCTCTCTGACATCACTACCTAGAAGCTAGACTAGCACCAGCAGGCATTATTGAAACATAACCAGCTACATCTTAGGAGGTTTCGCTTGTGCCAGGCCACCACCATTTTAATACTAGTCTATATTAGCCGTACTAGTAGTACTACTACTACTACTACTAGTACTAGTCTAGACATAACGCATTAATACGGCTATCCAAACAAAATGTAGGAGGTGTGAGAGGACGTCTGACTCTAATGAGTAATGTACAGTCATGACTCATACACAACCTGCCTTGCCTACATTTAGTGTAGGCTAGGCTAGGGGTACTCGGGTTCAGGCTGGGTTGTGCCCGGTCCGGGTGGATGCCGCCAAATCACGGTAGATTATTATTTTCCCACAGATCCAGCACTGGCAACGGTTCCTACACAGATACTGCAATTGTTGTAGAAGACTGCAGCTGCATCTCTGCAAACAGTCACTTCACCTATATTGTATACATAATAATGGGGACGCGGCTTGCCGGCTGTGTGTGTACGTGCGTTCGAGGTTTACCTCTCAAAATGTGCACCGACAACTATTTCCTTCGGTCTCTTTGCAGCTGACAACCGTGCTCGCGCTCTTGAATGGAATGTCGCAGCCGCTGTGCATTGAGATGGCGTCTGTGCTCCGTGTGGATGTTTGAGACCGCCGGGCTCCCTTGGGTGTCTTCTTCCTCCGCTCCCATCCTTGTCACTTGGTCAAGTTGGTGCCACTCAAGCAAAGTTAGTTGGTTTGTTCATACTGTACGCCTTTACGTGTCTACAATGTACATGTACATGACGATGATACATTGTAGCTGTGGACAGTGAGTCTGACAAACAGTAACTTAGTTCACCTTTTTATGACAATGCTGATCAATGGCTTAACTTATAAGAAGAAAGGAGGACCAAAGACTTGAAAGAGCTACATGTACAAGTTACGCTATACTATCTGCTAATACCACCAGTTACTTTACAATCAGCTCATGCGATAACATAATTGCACGACACTGACCAACAGTCGACAGTGGCTCTCCACCCCAGTCTAATGGCATAACTAATTATTCAGCATCAACGTTCATGTTCGACCAGCCCTACAATGCATGCCCTGGACGGTGGATCTCCACCACTCATCAGAGAATTATGTACATGTACAACTGCTGTTGTTGTTGTTGTTGTTGTTTGTTGTTGTTGTTGTTGTTGTTGTTGTTGTTGTTGTTGTTGTTGTTGTTGTTGTTGTTGTTGTTGTTGTTGTTGTTGTTGTTGTTGTTGTTGTTGTTGTTGTTGTTGTTGTTGTTGTTGTTGTTGTTGTTGTTACATGTACATGTAGATAAAACAACAACATAACATGTACCTTCTTACATGCGTACGACTACATGATTACATGTATGCGGAGAAAATATTATGCAAGAAATGGAATGGAATGATTGTTGACTAGCACATGTGGATGTTATGATGATAAAGTTAGTGTATACGAGAATTATCTCAAGCAGTCACGGTTACACACACAAAGCAAACCTTGTGATGTGCATGTAGTACATGTAGAAGACATTGAAATGGGTGAAACTGGTAACAGCTGGTGCAGTGCTGGGGTCACTACAGTAATGGCAACGAACTAAAATAAATCAAAAACAAACAAACAATCGGTTACCATGGCATGGGTGGCCTTACCTTGCCCTTGGAACAGACTACTGTCAGTACGAGGTGATTCGTAATTTACTGACTCAGTATAGTACTACTAGTACTACTCTGTTCCAACTCCAAGGCAAAAGTGACTGTACATGTACATGTATGTGACTCAGTAGAGATGAGTCCAAAGACTAGAGCAAGCTGTACTTCCCATGCCAAGAGCTAGCGGTGGACACACACGCCAGCAACTAACTATTCTACTTCCCCATGTCTCACCCCCAAGACGAAGTGAATACTAGTAAGACTAGAAGTGAATACTAGTAAGACTAGTGACGTAGTGTTATGTATAGTAAGACTAGTGACGTAGTGTTATGTAGGAACAAGAGTAGTCAGACTCATAGTGGCTGAAGATAAAATAAAAATTAAAATAATGAATAAACAAGCAGACTACACTAACGGCACATCTTCCCTGAAAGGCTGATGGATACGTACACGCCCATGACGGCGTACGGAACATACCGTAACATAGAAAGTAATAGTTAGAAACGGTATGCACGGAAGCGCCGCAATGAATGACATTATGCTAGATCAGCACTCGTACTTGTCTGAGCCCACATGTCACCTAACCGTATGTGGTGGAGTGCGAGTGGGCTAGTCTACGTCTGCGAGTCTGTGACAAGAGGGAGTGGCTACGGAATGCAAATCGCCGAGCTCACACGCCTAGCGCCTGCACACCACTGAGCTCTGCAAAATACTGCCAAGTAACCAGTTACTTGTACTACTAGTAAAAAAAGTAAAATGATTAGACTGGGGTGGAGAGCCAAGGATGAATTTATCAAGAAGAAAAGAGGACCAAAGAGCTACAACTCACATGTAGTTACGCTATAATAATATCCACTAACTCCACCAGTTACTTACCAGTTCTTATGTTATTTCTATACAATGTAACTACTAAGAACCTTCCAAGTTAGTTGGAAGGCTGTTGGACTGCGCATCCAAGATGTACTAGAGCTGATTGCCACTTAGCGTCTTAGGTGTAGGTGTAGAACGTCACGTTCACGTCAGTAGTACAGTACCGTTGGTCAGCGTCGTGCAATGACATTATGTTATCGCGACGCATGAGCTGACTGTAAAGATTATGTTATCGCGACGCATGAGCTGACTGTAAAGAACTGCTGGTGTTAGTGTGTATTATAGCACAACTATTGAACTAACTACTTGTATAATTGTAGTTCCTTGGTCCTTTTTCTTTCTTATAAACTATTCAAAATACTGATTGAATTATTTTTACTTGAACCTCATCCTGGTAGATCAGTGTCAGACACCAGTCTGAACTCTGAAAACGTGCGGAGATGACTCATGATCACAATGGTTTACATACATGTACATGTAGGCTCCTCACTCTCACATACACATTATGTACATGTACATGTACAATCATGGTATTATATAACCCAATACTAGTTCAAAACTAGTAATAATTATTAGATAAACCTTGTTATAGTTCACCCCCCAGCCAACCGCGGAAGGTTGTAGTAAGTTCACTGATTCCGAACACAGTGAGTGTCCTCCACCTTGTTTCATGCAGTGTCAATCTAACAATATGTACAATCATGTACATGTACACAATGTAAATCGCTGTTGCTATCATGTTTTGGGCTAGCCTCTGAAGATGGGCCTTGCCCGAATATTCGAATGATTATCTCAGGCTTTAGAGGAAACAGCGCAAGGAAGAGCTAAAATAACAACAAAACTGGATGTCACATACAGTACATGTACACATAGAACGGAATGGGGGAAAGGTGCAAGTGTGAGGAAACCAAACATTAGCAAGCTTCTTTGTTGTTATTTTTAAATAGCTCTTCTTCCTTGCGCTGTTTCGACTATCTCTTTTTATTATTCTATTTAGTGATTGGTGTAGCCCAGAGACCGTTTGGAGAGTCGTGAACGTGTATTACTATTAGCGTTATAATTAGCGCCGGTTGTGCTGTAGATGTACAGGCGACTTTGCGAATAACGACCCTCGATCCTGCATGTGTCCTTATTTGTGAGCTGTCAGTATTCGGAAGGTTGAAAAAAACTTGAAAAAATGCTGTCAAATGTTGTTATACCCGAGGTCGTTCTTGCGTATCGGTAGAACTACTGTTACTATAGATAAACCTTGTATTGTTGAAAACATGTTGTTGGTTGACAGCATATTGCAAGGCGGAGGACAGCTGACGAGCTGAGAGAGGGACGGACGCCATGGGCAGACGTTGGAAAAATAAAGAAAAGAGTAAGGCTAAAGAAAAGAAAAGAAGACTTTTTTGGTTTAGGTGTTATTAAATTTTATCACTATTCATCCTTTATAATAGTCTGTGTCGCAGTTTGTTAAATAGTACAACGATGCTTCCTGATGAGCGTTGTGCGAAAGCTAGTTCGATGCATTTTTATATTTTTCATCGTTCCTATTATTGTTCTTCACATTACATTTCCATCATAGTTATTTCTTTGTCCATCACCACTTTCTCTAGAATTTGATCGTGACATCTCAATAAAACCTTCGTGAAATGACGCTTCAGCTGGTTCTGTTTATTGCCATCCTAAAAGAAGAACAAGTCAGAACAAACGCTACACGGTTTATACTAGTAAGGACTGAGTATCAAGAAGAAGACATCCAGGAGCGAATAGAGAATACACGGCTGACATTGCAATGGCAGGAGGACTCAAACAAAGTCTCAAAGACCGAGGCTCTGCCAACCGTGGATGGTTGTAGTAAGGTCACTGATTCCGAACACGATGGTCTCCGCCTTGTAACATGCTGTCAACCAACAACAATTACAATCATGTACAATCATTGTGGATGGGCAACGTGTGACCTACTTCAGTACTTGACCTCAGAAGTAAGATCTGGCTAACCAATCATCGAAGTAACAGGTTAGTTCGTGCACTTCCTCGATTCAGCAGAAGTCTGACGTTTTAAACGTGTTCACTGTTCCTTCTGTGCGATTACAATGCTCGCACCCACCTCTTTGTAATCTAAAACAAAAGTAAAGTAAAGTTTGCACATCTGCCTTACCACCGGCTTACAATTATTGTGTTGAGAAACACAACCTTAACCAGCTCTTTGTCAGCACACAATGAAGATGCCACACAGTACATGTACTACCCCTTTGTCAGCGACTCAGTAGGATCTCGGAGGCGTAACTGGAACTACGGTAATACTGATAAAGGAATAGTGGCCACTCACTAACGTCTTTAGCTGTTTCGTCTGACTCAAAGAGCTGGCAGCTTGGCTTCGTTCTTTGACTTTGGTCTTGAGATTAGACTGAAACTCTTAGCAGGCCGCGCGCACGACTTTGTTTTCGCTGTCAGCGGTATTGGCAATGGAGCGGTGTCTTTACAGTACAAGCTTGTGACGACAGCACTTGGGGCCTAGGTGTCGCTTCACGGCCGCGTTTTCAACTTGTATCATCAACTGCAAAGCGAATGGAATGAGTCTTCCGACTGGATTGGCACTTCGCGAGGGAAGTGAGCAAGTAATAAGTATTTCCGCATTGGCTGCGGGCTGCTGGCCGGAGGAGAGATCAGTGTGCTTGAATGGCTGTGAGGAGGCAAGCGGCGTAACATTGTCAGAACAGTCTCCTCCACGCCGTGCCTGCTTGGCGCGCTGTCAGAGCGAGACGTTCAGGTTGCTTGAAGGTGGCCATCCACATTCCCAACCAAAAGTACGCTACGCTGATTTCACTAAGTGGTTTCTGGTTAGGAGCTAGTCCGCCCCGGTCTAGCACATTCTTGCCCGATTCACGTCTTTCACGCACACATCTGCGTATATCGTTGTGTCCATGCCTTATGAACTTTCTCAACCAACCCATGGATCATCCACACACCGCCGCCGCCAGGGCCAATACAAGGGCGAGGGCTCAAGTAGAGTTCACATCCCCATGAACCATGATAGCCTAGTGCAGTAACTACTTAGTTGCGCTGTGCGGGGCACGTGAAGCAAAGAATGTGCGATGTGATGTAATGATTATGTGTGTATGTGTGTGGTGTGTGTGTGTGCGTGTGTGTGTGCGTGTGTGTGTGTGTGCGTGTGTGCACTGCGTGTGCGCGTCACACACACTGAACGCGCGGGTTCAGAAACATCACACATCCATTTTACACACCTAGTACTAGTACTAGTAGTAGTACCTCACAGACTGTATCAGTATTCAATAATCGACTCCGCAGAAGAAGTATCGACGCTCTTCTTTGCGGCTCAAACCACCAAGCAAGCATGTACAGACACGGACAGACAGACAGTGAGTAGATAGTGGAGCTACTACGAGGCACTACACATGACTCTATGTAGCCTTGTAGGGGCAAGATGATTGTGATCAGGTGATAGAGCCAACCAGTTACACGGTGACGTCATACCCTGAACTGCTCCCGACGACACGTTCCGTTTGTCATCATGGCCATTGGCAATCAGATACACAGTATACGCAAGAAACAGTTTGTTGTTGCTTCTATCGCCAACTATCAAGAGGCAAAGGTGGGATGCCTACAAATACAATGACTACGGGTATCTATCTTAGAAGTAGAAGTAAGCTAGACCCTGGCCCAGCAGGCAAATGGCAGCAACAGAGGCAGAGAGTAGTATAACTATAACTAAGCAACAATACCGGTGGCTGATGCTCCCTGGTTTTTAAACGCCCATGCATTACCCACGCTGGAGGTCAAGTCTCCGTCACAGAAGTACCGGTAGATCTAATAGTATTCCAGATGCTAGAAGCAGCTTGGGAAAGACGCAATCGTAATAATAGTATAGGTCGTCGTCACAAAGCACCAATGCCATGGACGTGACACCCAGCCAGGGGTTAGTCATATCGAATGCCCACACAGACAGAGATGCCAGCGGAATGAAAGCACAGAACCAAACACTGAAGGAAGATTGAAGGAGAACAGTAACTATTTTACTTAAACTGTTTTGTAGTAGATTCTACTTTGAATAGTGGCACGTATCGGTAGATCAACAGATGAATGGCCGTCCAGAGGTCATCAATATCATCATCCCACCTACACGTACCTGCAATACAAAACCTACGTGAGAATTATTTTCACAAGTTAGCATGGTTCAAACGAGTACAGTATACAGTGACTGTTATTATGATGTCTGGGAATAGGGTTGACAGATGCCAGTAAGGATGTCCAGGCACTTAGGCGTATTACCGGAGAGCAGTGATATTTCCAGGTGACAACTATAAAAGCCATAAAGAGACACAGCATGGGACCAGAAGGCAGCACTGAGCAGGGCTATCGCTAGCTCAGGAGATAGCACTGCTAGTGACGCTTCCACTCGCACACTGATGCGGGGCGGATAATGACTTGCTAATTTGTCCAGCAAGAGCAAATCTGGACAATCCCTAGCCAGATTCATTATCAGTTCTTGAACTTGTAGGACGGCTTGTAGCTGAAGTCCGTGGCCACTACAGCGTAACCCTGGAAAATGCCAGAAACAAATCAGAGCTCATGTCAGTCTCATTGCCTGTCCTGCACTGGTGGCTGGGGGATATCTTTGATAGATGTGTCAGGAGGGCCACAGACACAGCTAACTCCACTGCAGTACGATCAAGTCAACAGTCCAGATCAGAATAGACCTGTACTTGTGTGCAAGGGGCTGGAATCGGCTCTTTACTTTTCTCTGGGACTTGCCAATAAAAGGTGAGTAAGTTGTATTGCTGCAGCAATACAACTAACTTGTACTTACCGTTTTATTGGCAAGAGAAGTTCCAAACAAAAACATAGTATTGGCATCAATATACTCATACTCTTAGGTCTTTAGTCCAGGGCACAGGCATAAGTAACACTGGGCCTGCATCCCTTGCAGTCAGTTCAGCTGCAGTGTTTGGTTTGGTGATGATGAATTGTTGAATGTCACGGAGCTGTCCGGAGAGTGATTAGTGATTAGTGAGCACTGAGCCGCATTCAATGCAAGACAAGTGGACTGTGCCACTACTCCCAGCATGATACGGCATACCCTGCCTGCTGCCATTTGCTGCGTGCAGAATGCTAATGCTAACAGTTTTAACTTTTAACTCTAGTCTAGTGAATGATCTAGTCTAGGTATTCATAGTTCATGTAGTATAGGCAATGTCATGGTGGTCTACAAAGTCAATACCATCAAGATGCCCATCATTCACTCATCAAGTGCTGATACAGCGCAGAAGAATTCTTCTTCTGTTTGCACTTTGCAGTCTATCTATACCAACACAAGTCATGCAGTCAAAGTCTGCCATCAACTTAATCATGATAATACTTGCCATGTGCTGCTCTGGCATGCTGGCCTGGCCAGGGCCACAACAGCCAGCACATTCACTAGACAGTCTTTATACCAGACACACTGGCATAAGCCACACATGTAGAAGTCATACTATTATTACTATAACCTCCTCACAAATATTTCTCCTGGCATAAATACTAGTACAGTCATTCCCCTTTAAACAACAGTTGAACACTTTACAATCCAGCACCCTCTAACTTATAAACCAGCACAATTATCAGCAGCCAAAAATGTCCTCTTCATGCCCCCTGCCACAATGAATCAGATTTGTTACTTCAAGCGCCCTCCCGATCCCATCCCTAATCCAGCGTAATTTCCGTAGTATAAATGGTGCCGGACTTTAAAGGAACCATGTGTGGCCAACAGCATTTTTATGTTGCCTGATAACTGAAAATGGGATTTCGGCATTTGGCCTCTGGTTGATGAATCTGATCTATCCTCCTCCACCGTTTAGGAGCTGTGGCGTCTCATGGAAGTGGAAAGGCAGTTCTTGACCCGCCCTATAGTATACGCGAACCCGTGCTATTTTTCAGTGATGCCGGCATAGCAGGAAACTCAGAGTTGCAACAAACTAGCCAGTTGTGTCTTGTTGCCGCTCTGTATAACCACCTCCTGTATTCAGGAACTTGAATTCCAAGTAAGTCTAAGTACTCGTGACACTCAGGTCCCAGGTGCCTTTCAGTGCATGCTTGGACATGCCGGCAAAGTTTCCTTCTGACACCCAAGCTGCTGGCCAACACTATAGTTATTTTTTATAGTCTTGGCCGATATTACAATGGCATATTCGCTTCATAATCAAACATCAGAACCAAGGACATTGTCATAGTTGGGTGGGACATTCCTAGTCACAAGCAGGCCGTGGGGATACCCTGTTGCGATGCATGAATGGGCTTTACTGCAACATGGCTGCTGCAAGATGCACAGGACTGAAAAGAGAAATTTGAGAACGGCGCCTTCTATTTACAGTGCATCTCAATCCTCCCCGGTGACCGGCAGTGGATGCTGGTATCCAGGTATCCTGTGTCAATGGGATCTCGGAGTCACTGGCACCGTAACCTAATCATGTGCAACTTCCTGTGCCTGTAGACCATGGTAGACCAGTGTAGACTGTAGTGTTAGTGCAGAGTGTCTTCAACATTGTCACCAGCCTGAAGTACTCTTTGACTTTGAATCTAGCTGATGCAGTGGACCCGATACCATGGATACGAGCACAAGCACCTACATGACCGTATGCTAGTACTATGGTATAGGCTAGTAATAGGCTCTATACTGGCCCAGCTTTGTGTGAAACGCAGGACAGGGGGTTGTGGACAGCATGCAGACTTTTTGCAGTCATAGTGCCAACAGGGATAGCCACCAGCCCAGTTGTGCAGGCCAGCAGCAATATAAGTACTTTCAGCAGCAGAAGAAGCAGTCACCAGTGCTAAAAGTACTTGGGATTTGTGAAGTGCACATTTTCTGGTATTTTCGTTCCGTACTGGAGGAATGTCAGAGCACCAGTACTGTGACCTATCCCAAATCCTTTCAGTGGCAAGCTATTGTATTGCACTGCAGCCACTGCTGTGCTCAGCGGTATGCTTTGAAAAATAACCATAATACAGGTACAGGTACATTGACTAGAATGATTGTACCTGTAAATCAGCACTTTTGGCCTCAGGAGTTCTCCAGCCTCTGCAATGGCCTAGGAACAAAACTGACTCCAGTAGTGGAGAATCCACACAGCACTGCACTAGCAATATGAATTATTGGACTATGAATCTCCACTGACTATGTACACCATGTGATACTGCATGCGTGTACAACTACGTAGTGGTTGGTGACTCAGGTCAATGCATAGCTAGCAGGCTCTTAGCTTGATTCAATTAAAAATTAACCCATCACACATGTACAATCATGTACTTCATAGTCACAGTCACACCAGGCATGCTCTGCTGAGTCTGCACCATATTTGCTGACATCGGTGCAGGCTAGGCCAGGTTGGGCTGCCAATGCCAATGGCTTTCCTGTCCCATTTCTTGCCAGTTGTCATGCGCTGGAAGAGAGCATTCTCTCTGGTAGTCAGCATGCGGCTTTGTTATATGGGGGGATTTAACTTATATTAACTATCACCAAGGGGAACATTTGTTATGCACTGAAGCTGAGGCTGAAGGAGCCCTTCACAACACACGTACCAATGCTACTATGCCCTACTTGGTCCTGAGCTTTGGCTTGAGAGCAAAACCAGGTCTGTTCATAAGTTTGAGGGAGTTGAAAACGGGAAACCAGTGAAGGAAAGGTTGACTGCCACCACCGGAACTCCACGGACCCTGGCTTATGTTTTGAGATCAAACAACATCCCACAGTTTGATATCACTGTTCTTTAGTATAGGCAGACGTCAAAGAACAATATACCCTTGTATAGATCCTGGGTACTTCAGCCTGACTCCCCGGCAAAGGAGCAATAATTGTTGTAATGACTGCAAGAATCACTGTGCACAGTCCGTGGACTCCTTGAAGGCAAGCTGGCTTTACGGCAGGTGCACGCCCGTGATGTTGCCTAGTAGACAATCGACTGACAAAATACCAACTACTGACACGATGTACATACACACATATGGTGGCACAGCGGTGCACCATCAACCTTATCAGTCTGTTTACGTTGTCAGCATCACCACTACCCCCCCCCCCCCCTTCCTCTCCTCCTCTTCCTCCTTCAAGCCACACAGTCACTGCTTGTAGGCCCAGTTCCAGTCTACTGATTGTCATCATATCACTCATATGACTCGTACTTTGTACATGGCAGAGAGAGTCAGCATTCTTCTTCTCAAGCTAAGCCCCAAGCAGCCACATTGACTAAACTCTCAGTGTATTCGTTTGCACAGCTGCGTGTGTCCTGAAATACCATACACACTTACGCATACATCAATCTCTACAGGTGCATGCACCCTTAGGTTAATTTCTCTCTTCTGCAGACCCCTGAAGGTATTGAGTTCTGGAACATCTCATACTAATAGGTATATTGATGGGCATAGTCCAAGTCATAGCCAATGTGCTGTTCCCTGCAGCTACAGTAGGTATGTCTGCTGCATATCTATATCCATGCATTACAACAGTAAAACTACAACTACAAGCACCCATGCACACTCTCGAGATCTCTTGCACTGGTACATGTACATGTGGTGGTACATGCATCAGGACTCCTAGCACCAGCTGTGCAAGTAACAGTTATGGTGATCTTCCAGTGCCCCCACGTCCCTGGGTTCATCAGTGACATGCTGCCATGCTCTTTCATCTGCTACTTCATCTACATGTAAAGTGCAATTACTTCATTGAGTCTGGGATTGTGTACAATCATGTACTCCCATCTTTTATAGGTATATGTATATTGCTGGAAGGGGAGGAGAGCTTGGTATGAAAGTGAAATGTGCCTGGCAAGATGCTCTGATATGTTAATTAAGAAATGTACGCACCACTGTCCTGATGATCATTCCAAGCAGCCTATAACGTTCGTATAGAAAATGATGACTCTGCTGCAATTATTCATGTACATGTACATGCATGGATAAGGAGTTCACCCAGGCCAGGGTATGATCGCAACCTATGCATTCACGCATAATAATGAGCTACTCAGTTACATACATGTACGGACATGGTGTGACATCCATGTCCATTATGCTGCGCACAATGTCCTTTTATAGGCATGTTGAGCAGAGAGATCCTGACATGTCTGCAGATCGTCTGCAGGTGTTCTGTACCTGTTTATGGCAAGGCTGTCATAGGCTTATAGCCAGCAGTCAAGACATGCATGTTTGATCTATTCAGAGCATTCAGCGGGCTGACATGTTTGAAAAGACTGCGTGTAAAGTATCCACAGAGGCGCGTGCCTAAATGACAGCGGGTTCCCGTAGTGGAATAGTTATATTGGGGCCTTGCTGCCCTGCACAGCTTTGCCCTGGTGCATTCAACACATCACCATGCTGAACTCACTCCATGGCTGTACTATTACTCTTCTGTACTGTATGCTTACTAATGGCCTAGCCTGACAGTGTGCGTTTACCAGAACAGTGAGAACACAGATGACACGGAACGTGCATGATGGTGTTGACAACTCTCAACCACATGTGGACACTGCGAGGCAAGGTCAGCTGCCAAAAACAGCTCCTCGCACTGACAGCATTGACCAGCAGCCTCCCAAAAACCTCACCCAAACTCTAAACTTGAGGTGCCAAAAATCACATCAGCTATGAACATGCTCTACCCACGGAGGGACGAGACTAGGCAATGAATAACACAACACGGATATAAGAACTTTGCCAGGTTGGACAATTGGTCTGAACAGTTGTGCGTGAGCAGTGTCTGCGGCCAGATGTATCCGAACACAACTGTATGAACACAACTGTACATGCACATGCAGTGTCCCAAGACCTGTGTCTGAAATGGATACATGACTGCACACATACTGGAATGAAGAGTTCCTGGTCTGAAACACCCACAGTGTACGAGCGAACACTCAATGATATACGTAAGGTTTTCTGTCATGTGACACGGACAACACAGCAAGACTCCTGTCTGTCTTCCCAATATAAACGGGTGGAACTGCAAAGCTACATGTGTGCCCACAAGTATGCATGGGTATTCAGTGTTCCAAAGATCTGCTGTTGACACGCACATTGGTAAGAAATGAAATCATGTGAGTTTACGGCTGAACATGCGGTGCAAAGAGGAAGGCATGTTAGCCACACGGCAATTGTAATGATGCTGGGTACAGATGGAGGCAGGGCTATGATGCCTGATACAGACAGAGGCAGGGTTATGATGCCAAGACACACGGGCATGAACAGCGAAGGAAAGACAGTCCCCTGCCGTGACGGTCGAAACAGGGAGTGCATTCCCCATCTCAACTGAAGGCTACCTAGTAAGTTGCGGCTATCCAAGCATACCGGGATGGGGTTGGAACTTGAAACCAGTACAATGCCATGTGCCAGGACAACAACCGCAGTCTAGGCCTACACACGATGCAGCTGTTCCCAGCTACTGCAGCCCTGCCACTACCCACATGACTATGTCAGTGTACATGTGTGAACTGTGCCATTCAAGTTGGTCTCTTTGCATGTTGTTGAATTGTTGCACCAGCTATTTAGCCTTTTTTACACGTACGCTTTAATAACATAGAATACTCACATGGGAGAGTTTTTAGAAGTGATTCACTAGCTGGCTATATGTTGACTAGACTTGACAAGCAGGCTTGGCCCACAGCCCCGCCTAAACAGCAATTGGAGGCTAGTAAAATGACAGCCTAGAAACTATAGTGCGTGGTTGTGCGCTGTGTGTGTGTGTATGTTTGTGTGTGTGTGTGTGTGTGTGTGTGTGTGTGTGTGTGTGTGTGTGTGTGTGTGTGTGTGTGTGTGTGTGCATGGTGTGTGCGTGGGCGCACGCGCATGCATATGTGTGTGTGTGTGTGTGTGTGTGTGTGTGTATGTGCAGTTGCCGAGGCTGGTTGGTAAAATAACTCCAATTTCACTTCAAGGTACCAGTGCATCTAGTGTCTGCTTTTATCAAAGCAGCGTACTGTCTATACTGGTTACCCCAGCAAGTGTAAGGTGTGCATAGGTAACTGTCTTGGCCGTCCTATTCCGATGTACTCCGTGTGGTGTAGACCAGGTGTGCATTGGGGGGTCGATTCACATGGCTTCGCCAGTTGTGTGGATTAGACAGTTATCTGGCGCTTGTCTTGATCTGTTTCAATCAGAATCAGATCCGCTATCGTTGCTATAAAGAGAAAATCTGTGGGTGCACATCCAGTGCATTTGCAGATTTGCGTGCTTCTCTTACGACGGGCGTTTACATGGTACATGGTATGTGTGTGTGTGTGTGTGTGTGTGTGTGTGTGTGTGTGTGTGTGTGTGTGTGTGTATGTGTGTGTGTGTATGTGTGTGTGTGGGGGGGGGGGGGTGCATACTTCTATCTGTGTGCTAGTTCACTGACCTGGCCCAGTTGTAGGGTTGGGTTGACCAGAGCGACGCCGTCCACGATCGGTATCTCAATGCCCGGAACAGTGTAGGCTGTAACAGAAACAAGAATGGATAGGTTAGGGCAACACCCTACAATTGTAACTAAACAAACGTGGGTGCATAGTGAACGCCACAGCATCATGACTAGTGATGCATGAGAACTTGACAGGGAAAGATGATAGATGTGTCCAGTGGGAAGAGGTGTGTTTCCTGGACCATTGGGTGAAAAATAAAATAAAAAAATCACGGTTCGCGTGAGACTCCACTGGGTGAGAGGAGGGAGTATATCCACCGCCGAACCGAGAACAAAGACAGATATCTCCCCTGGAAATCATACAGTATGATGAACATGAATGGCACTCGGGGGTCAGACAAGGGCTGTCCACATTTGTGTGCGTGTGTGCATAGTCTATCCACCAGTATGTCAATTATTGTTAAATTTTATGGAAATAATGCTGAGCAGTTGCACGATGTATAAAACCAACATTTGCCTCTGGGAGGAGGGATGCACAAAAATCAATCAATCACTCACACAAAGACATGCCAAAAAATAGATACACATCGACATACATGCATCCCATCAACAGGGTTCAATACATATTGAGTCTAGATGTCTGTTCCCTCATTGAATGAACCAGGCTGGATTTTGACTTTCTAAAGTCACTTACGAGATCGCATCAATCCTTTTCTAACGCCTTACGGTCGTTAACATGATAGATTACAGTATAGACATGATCAAGGACTTTGAGGTGCATTCCAAGTAGACAGGCGAAGCTCAGGCTTCATTTACAAATCCTCTGTAGTGGGAAGGGAAGGAAGGTTGGAGAACATGTTGACTCTATCAACATCATACCTTAAGGAAGACATACCACATACAGCATGAATACACAGTGAGATAATGCAACACATTGCTTACAGTTGATAAACGGAATGACGCCGAGGCCTGCGAGTGCGTTTACCGCCACATCCAGCAGAGCAACCTAGCACAATGCAGTAGGAGCACGAGAATGCCATATCACATTATCACACAGTGGCTACATAAAAACCGGCTATGCCAATGGAATCGTGCGTGAGGATTACAAACAGATCATCCAGGTCTTTTATCATGTGTTCCTGCTGCATGACTTGAAGAGTGAAATACTGTGTTGAGGTGACGAAGGCTGAGCCAAACTCGACCATGCAACAGAAAATTATATGAAGGCTTTGATTTTGTCGCAGTCCGGCACGCATTCCCACGTGTATTCGCCTGCGTAGACCAGAATCATCAGTTTTCAAACAGGGCGGCGGATGGATTTTTAGGGGGGGGGGGGTGCAGGACCGTCTGTGTGAAGTTGTGGAGAAATTTTGACTTTTGAACAGGTTCAAGTGATGGTACGCTTTCCAACGGCCAAAGAGAGTTGGAAAGCGTGTGTCTTTGTGGGTAACTTGAACATTTGGGCTCATGCAAAATCGCACCGATTTTGGGATTTCCCCACAACTTTTTGCGTCAGCAAAAATGTTGTGCTGGACCGCATTCCTGTCACTTCGCAGTGGCTTTTCGTTGGTGCAGTTTGTATCCCACCCTCCCACCCCTGACTTCTGCCGGGGTGTGTGTTTATCGATATACCATATTGGTTTTTCTTATTGGCCATGTGGCTGTTGCAGCTACGACTGTTTTCTTTTTTAGTTAAAAAACGTAGGGGTGGTGTGTGCGTCGTGGGCCATTGTATGGTTACATACAGCTTCAGATTGTATGGCCACCATGCTCACAGCAGAGACTTCTGTGTGTGTTATTGTTGCGAAGTGGACCACAAAGACTGGCTAGATTTACTATCCGAACTGATCCAGAAAATAGCCGCTGAGCCTTTTTCTAGAAAGTCTGGGGTGTGCATAATTATGCTCTTACAACATCATGTTTAACCACTGCATCTCTTTGTCTCGTTGTGCACTCACGTTAAACTGGCCAATGTTGGTGGACACCAGTGATAACTCAGTACTGCACGGACACAAGAACAAAGAACACAGCACCGTATCTGAGTATAGGTGTAGAACAAAATGCATTGGCTCTGTACATGTGTGTCTGGACTGCAGTCTTAGCATCTGGGAATCATAGCATCTAGTAGGGAAATAACACAAGATCATAGTACCTGAAGCAATGTGCATTTCGACCCCGGACTGGGAAATTCTATATGATCCGACACTTATGCAATTACAATCGCAGTAGCAGCCTCGATCTGCTGGCTCAGCTCAAATATGCCATATGCGAGGGTGCATAGACCCTGCCTCAAGGACAGCTGAAATAGGTAGCCTGGCAGTGAAACACACATCACGTCAAGTTCCAGTCGCTCCTGCTTTCCCCTTAGATGCTCCAACTCACTTTCGACTATTGCAATGATGACAAGTGAAGTTCATCCTCATACTTAGTCATTAAAATAACTGATTCCAGACACTGCATAACCCTAGTCAAGTTGTGGCCAAAGAAATCCCATCCACAACTGAGTCAAAAGCAGCTCTGCGTTTCCATTTCAATTACATCATGCATGCTCCAAAAACCGATCTGAGGGTCGCAGGGGCCTCATGAGCCGCAGGGCCTGCAGGAGCTTTGGCGCTGCTTTCAGCACGTGGGTTGGATTTCTTTGGGCACGACTGTACAATTAACATTGGGCTGGACACGAGCATGTTAGAACGCTCCGCTGCTATGCTATCGGAAAGTAAGACGGTGGAGTTTCGCTGACCAGACTATAGTACATAAGTGCAGTGTAGTTGCATTCTGGTGTTTCCTAGTGTTTCCCATCATGGTGTATCGTTGAATTCCTGGCGGGTTCTCATGGCACCGTCAATGCTCATTGATCAGTCTTTCCCCGTCGAGTGTCTGCAATGGAATCAAGCAAGGCGCGTTGTGCTACTTACAACATGTAGACGGCCTTTGCGCTGACGTAGACTTTGCTGTTGTTAGAGTGTGTCCACGCTGTGGCATTGGCGTGGATCAACTGGACACGCCGCCACGGAGAGAAGAGTAACACATAATATGCTGTGTTAGCAGTTCTGATATTGCACACACTATTTGGCACATGGCGCATCCAGTGCAGGCACCATTCGACTTAGCTAGCATCCATCAATATTGACAAACAATATGCCTGCAGCCAGGAGTAATTGTTGGGAAGAGTCCCACTCTCTGTAGCCAGCCCAGTCCCTGATCCACACAGCACATGTGCAATGAATTGTAATATGGACAATTTGAATACCGTATTTTCCGGAGTATAAGCCGCACCCAGATTTTTTTGTCACGAAATACAGACATCTACCCTGTATTCCACGTTTCATTTGACCATTGTAGTTTAAGAGAGCATGTCTGAGAATACCAAAGTATGTGTGCAAGTGGATCTCTCCGATTTCGCTCAAAATTTGCAGGTAGGTTCCCTTTGGGGCGTGGATCGATTGTGCAAAGCCCTTGAAAAAGTTTCTGAAGGGAACCTTGAAATTTGCATACCCCTCGAAAATGGCCGAAATATCACATTATTTATGGGTCTAGAAACGAGTCACGCCACAGCGTATACGAACAAGCAGTGAACAAAACTCTATCAAGCCAACATTGCCTCACCTTAAAAGAGTTCCTGGAGCAGTACCGTTTAGCCACGCCAGCATCCCAGAAGACGAGGTCCATCACCCCCTGACGCCACAAATGATCGTCTTGAAAATAGCCAATTTACAAGCGCTGGCAAAACAGCCAGCTACGTCCTCAATTGGCCAGAACTATACACCGGCAGATAGTAGAACACCTCTTCTAGCGCTGAGGACATGTCCCCCATCTTCCTTTTGGGGTTTTCTTGAAATAAACTTTTTTGAATTTTTCCACTCGACCATGCTGAAATACGGCCAAAGTCATACCTGCGCAGGAAAGCTCGCCCCTCCGCGACGTCTCCTCAGCAATTTCTACTCCAACACTACTCCCAAGGCCGCAGAACAAAGTGTAGTGTTGACTCTGACAAGGAAAAGCAGCGGTGATCACTTGTCACTCCAAACGACAAGCTTCTCCTTGCGCCACCAATAATTTTTTGTGCGACTGTTGATGCAAAAGTGACTGAAGGCCTGAGCGCAGTTTTTGAATTTTATTGCAAAATGCACGGTGAGATCGCGTGCTCTGTGACGTAGGATGACGCTTCCTGCACGCGGCCATCGATCGCGAATGTGCCTGGAACGCTACTCGAAACAGACCATGATGGCCCGGCAGAGGTAAGATGAGCTTCATTTCCTGCTTGAACTGCTGAGAACCCCCACAAACTGTCCTAGGAGTGTTGCAATGGCAGCAAGCCGTTGAAATATGCCCCGTACAGCATGGAGAGTTATTCGTCTTTCACACTTACCTCCTGCAATCCCGAACATAGTCCAACAGTAAAAGTCCCTTGTTTTCATGTCGATGCTCGACAAAAGCGGCTAGCTCGGTCCCTTTGTGTTGACTGGCACGCGAGCACTGGCTGCACGCACTTGTCGCGTGAATTGCATGAGAGATTTCTTACGTCATAAAGAATGTGATTTCATCATCATTTCACTGGTCTTCAACCTACATGGTCAGGGAAAGTCCCGGTTCGTAGGCCTGCAACACGGTCAGCGTGTTCTTGAGCGCAGTAACAACACAAGTGTGATCACTTCCAGACCAACGCGCGTTCAAGGCGAGTAACAAGCGCACTTGACCAAGGTGACTCTGAAATCTCGTGAGCCGTGGGCCATGCGACTTGGCATTCTTGCGTCACAAGGCACGTGATTTCACCGTGCATCTTGCAATAAAATTCAAAAACTGCGCTCAGGCCTTCAGTCACTTTTGCATCAACAGTCGCACAAAAAATTATTGGTGGCGCAAGGAGAAGCTTGTCGTTTGGAATGACAAGTGATCACCGCTGCTTTTCCTTGTCAGAGTCAACACTACACTTTGTTCTGCGGCCTTGGGAGTAGTGTTGGAGTAGAAATTGCTGAGGAGACGTCGCGGAGGGGCGAGCTTTCCTGCGCAGGTATGACTTTGGCCGTATTTCAGCATGGTCGAGTGGAAAAATTCAAAAAAGTTTATTTCAAGAAAACCCCAAAAGGAAGATGGGGGACATGTCCTCAGCGCTAGAAGAGGTGTTCTACTATCTGCCGGTGTATAGTTCTGGCCAATTGAGGACGTAGCTGGCTGTTTTGCCAGCGCTTGTAAATTGGCTATTTTCAAGACGATCATTTGTGGCGTCAGGGGATGATGGACCTCGTCTTCTGGGATGCTGGCGTGGATAAGCGGTACTACTCCAGGAACTCTTCTAAGGTGAGGCAATGTTGGCTTGATGGAGTTTTGTTCATAGCTTGTTCGTATACGCTGTGGCGTGACTCGTTTCTAGACCCATAAGTAATGTGATATTTCGGCCATTTTTGAGGGGTATGCAAATTTCAAGGTTCCCTTCAGAAACCTTTTCAAGGGCTTGGCACAATCGATCCACACCCCAAAGGGAACCTACCTGCAAAATTTGAGCGAAATCGGAGAGATCCGCTTGCACACGTACTTTGGTATTCTCAGACATGCTCTCTTAATTAAGCATTATCATCTTTTTTGAGGTGAATTACAAGTATTCACAGTGCGGCTTATACTCCGGAAAATATCGAAACTCACTGAGTGGAAATAGTAACTCAAGACTAGCTGGCTGAAAAAGTCACTTGTTGGTGTCGCTGGCCCGCACATGTGTCGCATGAAATAAAGAGAGCGCTCCCTCGCTTACCGCACTCAGAACAAAGGCTTCGGCCTCTGTGCCGTTCGGTTGCTGCACCAGAACTTGAACCGTGCCAGGGATCAGGCCCGTGATGAGAGTCTCCGATATGTTCATTGTCATCGGTGCTGTGTTGTTGACGGCCAGGTTGATGGGCATGTTAGGGAAAGCCTTGTACAGCTGCAGTAAGTTAGAATAACGTTATCAAACAACATACTGTAATACCCGGCACTGCAAGCAGTACAATTATAGTACAGTAAAACCTGTGACTAACGACCACCTCTTGGTGCCAGCAAAGCGGTCTTTAGTGGCAGGTGGTCTTTAGTTAGAGGTTTGCACCGCACGACCATTATATGATATGTATGTCAAAATGCAGCTAATACAATTCCCCAGCACTTGTGCAATGCCATTCTTATTTCACATCAAACAACACTTCGTTCGTTCATTCATTCGTTTGTTCGTTCGTTCGATCGATCGATCGATCGAGAGAGAGAGAGAGAGAGAGAGAGAGAGAGAGAGAGAGAGAGAGAGACACACACACACACACACACACACACACACACACACACACACACACACACACACACACACACAGAGCAGATTAATTTTTTCCAGACATCAAATTCTCACCTACGCAAGCACACACACACTTGTTGTACACACACACACACACACACACACACACACACACACACACACACACACACACACACACACACACACACACTACTACTACTACTACTATGTACAACTGCCACAAAATGGCCACGTCGCTCCCAGAAGCGGGAGACAACAGCGAGAAAGGAAAAGAAACAAGGAGAGTAATTGAGGTGAAAGGGACACACACACACACACACACACACACACATGCACACACACGCACGCACACACACACACACACACGCACACACACCCACACCCACACACACACACACACACACACACACACACACACACACACACACACACACACACACACACACACACACACACACACACACACACAGCATGACCGATTCCGGTGCATCGGGCATTCTTGGAAGCCAAACCGTTGGTAATATGATAATCTCTAGAGGAGTGTATTTGTACTTAGCAAATGACTTACCGCTGGTACGATGTCTTTGAAACTTTCCGTGTTTAGTTTGATGGGGATGCTTGATGGCACCTGCGGCAGAGGAAGATAATGATAACTAGATAGGTGAGATCACCAACACAGGCTGATATGGTTGCAGCACTTGTGAGACGGTGAACATTACCTTGCTTTTTATTTATTTTTTAATAAATGAAACCAAAAACCTTCAGACATGTGAATGTGCACATATACAGTATCAGGACCGGCGCCACTGGTACGGCCGGTACGGCCATGGCCGTACCAACTTCCCAAAAAGTCGGTCCACGTGGAACGTCCAAAACCGGGGAGAAGAAGTTTCGATGGATGATTTTGTACAGGGAGTCGCCCAGAGTGCAGGATTTGCCATCTAAATTCCCAAAATTTTCTGGGGGAGGACCCCCAGCCGCCCTTCAAGATGGGCCTTCGCCCGCACCGCTGCATGGAAGCGGCCTCCGGCCCTGAGTGTACATACGTATGTATAGAGAAGGCAGCACAGAGACGGCAGCGGTCTCGGGTGAGGCCTGGGCAGCTCGTCCTGCTTGTTATGACATAGTGCACGGTCCAAATAAATTCAAGCCCGTATTTTGATTCTCCTCCTCCTCCTTCGCCCCCCCCCCCCCTCCCCCTCTTCCTGCCCATGTCCAGTCGTCAGTGAATGTTTGGCTATGTGTAGGTATGTGCAGGTATGTGATATGTTTGGCTGTGTGTAGGTATGTGCATGTGACATACTTTTCACATGATGATAGAGATGAAACAATATTCTCAGCGACCACCAAAGGGACCATTCAGGACTGCCTACTGCAGTCTTTGAATACAGCTGACCTCTGAAGCCAGGCCAATTTTTAACCCATTAACCCCCCCCCCCCCTGCGCGCACGCGCGAAGGCTAGTGAACTGGTCAATAAAATTAATATTCAAACTAGCTAACTAACAAACAACCAGGCAAGCAAGGAAACGGATGGGCGGACGGACGGACGGATGAACCAACAAACAACAAACAGTAAGACATTCATGTATGACTTACCATTGCTGGTGTGATGGTGTAGTGGAGAATCCCTGATTGTTCGTAAACGTAACCGGCTGTGTCGGCCATGTACGCCGTCAGCCAGATGTACATCATGCGATCAAATTGGCTGGCAGCTGGCAGGGCCGCGGGAACGTACGGTGCTTCTGTCGGCTGCTTGGTGAGGTAGAACTCTCCCTGTGAAACGATACGGTCAAGTGGAATTTGACAACAGTAGAAGAGTCAGCTGGATACCCTATCAGAGCGGGCTACACTTACAATTGGGAATGTAAACGGCAGCAACAACTGTTGCTTCTCTTGCGATATGGCGTACAAGCAGGCCTTCACAGGGGTGTTACAGGGCGTTTGGGAGTGGTACGACCGGGGTGCGGGAGTGTCCCCCGGAGAAAAACCCCGCATTTTTCGGCCAACAGGGCACGTTTTAGCACTCTACAGCCGCAAAGGAGGGTTCCCCTAGCACTTATTAGACAACCCACTCCAGCTAAAAAACGCTTCTCATGGATTTTTTGGTATTTTCTGTACATCATAGGTGGCCAAGGCAAAAAGGAAACAATCGCCCTCCAAAAATCGCAAAATCCGAAGTACAGTTCTAGCGCCAGCCGCTGTGCAAAAACATATATCATGTCCTGCGCCACTGCGCCACGCCGCATGCACTTGTCTATGTACATAGCCCGCCCGCGGACAGTCGCGAAGTAATTATGTTAGTTATTTTTAGAGAGGGAAGAAGATCCTTTTTTTCTTCGGTGGGATTGAAAGATCTGCCAGTGGACCGGAGAGCTACAACACTGGAAGCAGAAGAAAGGGCTTGCGGAATCTTCTCTGTCTTCGTGCCAACAGGACTTTAGTTTGCGAGAGACTTTCGTCCTGTCGTCGCGGACGCATTGCTGCTACCAGAAAATTCGGAGAACGAAACGATCGTAAGCCGTTTGGTGAAACGGGTCGTGTCGGTGAACAGATGCAGAATGTTCTGCCGCCGTGGAACAGCAGTCCAAACACTTTCCAACTTCGGAGAATGAAGCGGCGTTCGCGGGTGTAGATGTAATGCATTTTCGCATCAGCTTGCAGTAGATTGTCAGGAGCGAGAGGTACTAGGTAGGTGTCGTTGTGGAAAGAACATAATTATGTTGTAGCTGACAAGTGACATGCTTGTAGTGTCTCTTACCGTGCTGATCGCCATTGTAACATGGTAGATCTTGGAAATTTTTAGTTCTGGACCCAGTGATCGCCGCCAGCGCTGTTTCCGTCGAGTTTGCAGTGAGTGAATGTGTCCGTGAGGAATCCATCATCTGGTTGTCTCTACCCGTGACTCCAACCGCCTATCGCAATGGATATCCGCCTGGAGTCTTGGGGTGCTAGCTGCTAGGCATCAAGTCTGAACCGTATTATGCTCCTTGCAATGAAATTAAGTTAGTTGTGATGTTTTGTACAAGTCCGAAGATCCTTGAGTTTTTTTATTGCTTTTTTGGATGAATTGGGTGGACCATCCTGGACGAAAAGTGGTACGACCATGGTCATAGTGGTCGTACCGTGTGTGACGCCCCTGCTTCATATTATGTGCAGGGACGGATCTAGAGATTTCTACGGGGGTGTTCTAGTTTAGCCAAAACTGAGTAGCTGATACATGTACATGTACATGCATATGGTTAAGTTCCAGTAGAACATTTGCGAAATTTAGGGGGTTCCGGGGAATCCCCGGATTCCCCACCCCCCCTCCCCGGGTCTGCCCCTAATATGTTTGAAAGCAGTCATTGACTCTTACCTTATGCACAGTCTCCAGGAAGTTCACATTGTCATAGGCTGGCGGAGCTATCAGACCATAGTCAATCTCGGTGTTGTCGTCAATGGCAACAATGACTGCAAATGGCACCCCAGCGCACAATAGAACATGACGTCTACGACCATACACTGCTGTGACTCCACATATGCATTTGCGGTAGGAACAGTTGCTTCACCTCAAAATGTGTTCCCTAGCAACTGTCCTACTGCATGTGTGCACCAGGATGGGGATGGTGGGGGGGGGGGGGCATCGTCCATTATGATTCACAGCAAGCAGAATAGTGGCTTTAGTTTACTCTGGCAGCATATCATATGCTTTGGAGATGACCGCCCCATTTGACCAGGTGTTACACTTCAAGTTCTTTGTGATGAACGGCTACCCTAACACTAACTCAACTAGCAATCCGGCAATCACTATACCGGGATCACACCCAGTTGGACAGTGGTGTCCTGGTTGAAGAGGAAGGGGAAAACACTGACCTAACCTGTTGAATCACTCACTGCTCGTGGTCCCCCAGAGCACAGCATTCTGCTTGCTAGCCCCTCGTCCCTCACACAAGCGAGGAAACAAAGAGGCATCTTTGGATTGAGGGGTGCAGGTTTCGAAACAACTGGTTTGAAGCTCAACTTGAGTAGAGCTGCTGCTAGCTCAGAGTAGAGCTGCTGTTAGCTCAAAGTAGAGCTGTCTATGATGGTTCTGAGTCTCAGAGTGATCACTCCAACTTCACTGCAATGCTACGACCTGTAGACAATCGAAGCCTAGTGCCCGGCTATACACAAGACATAGCTGAGTCAGTGGACATAGCCATCACGCCCTTCAATGACAGTCCACCTCGAGCCGTGACGATGCACGGACAGCTCGTCAAAGTGAACGGCTTTCAGTATGGGCACTATGACAGGCAGTCTTGACGAGCCTGTATCTACAGTGCACGGACGCTTACTGGAACTACAACTATGATGACTTGGTCTTAGACTCCATACCATGGAAGTGGGGTCTTACCATGGCACCATAGCTTGCAGCAACAAGAACGTTAAACCATTTGCTTTTCTTGGAAAAGCTATCCGAAACCCCTTGCCACTTTTGCTCCCGATATGCTTTATTTAAGCATGCGATGAGACACATACTCAACAACTGTATGAATAACATCATGCCATGCATTGTATGCTTGGATAGAACACAGAGGGAAAGAAGGCAGTCACAGTAGGCGATGGCTGACTCTATACCGTACTCGGCAGGCTCTCCAGGGCGGCATTTCCTTGCGTGTTGATGGCACTCTTGCCAGCACTGCAGATCTGATTTGGCATGACACAATCCATACATACACACACACACACACGCACACACGTACACACACACACACACACACATCTGGTCCTGGTCCTGGTCCTGGTAAACACTGCCATTACGGTCACGTGTCCCCTTACGGGGCCAACAATATAGAACGACGAGTGTGACCATGTTCGAGAGAGCCATCTCCAGCAGCTATGGCTCTGGCTTATCATCGGAAACGATTCCTCTCACGGCTGCCGCTATAACTGGTCCATCACTCTCCACAACAGAGCGAACATTCCATGAGCCAACGCTCAGAGTCGTTCTAAGTCGCCGTCTTCGTGCGGTAGTTTGCTCCACTCGCGGGCTTGCAAAGCCTCGCGAAGGACTCCGAGGTGGGGGCGACGAGGAGAGTGTCGGCATCGTAACTATCCGACCAAGTCTCCTGTCGGTGAATACCTCACCTCAGGCACTGTTGGCCTGGACGGCTGGGGACACCCCAGGCCGTCCACAATGGCGAGAACAAGCACGGACGGAGGCCAGAAACAAGAGCCCGGAAAAGTACAACCGTCCTCCACCAGAGCAGAGAACACACACATTGTCAAGATGTTCAACTATTTGAAAGATTTTCTTATCGTCGGAAACGCTTCCTCTCACGGCGGCCGCTCGAACTGGTCCATCACTCTCCACAACAGAGCATACATTCCATGAGCCAATGCTCAGAGTCGTTCCAAGTTGTCGTCTTCGTGCGGTAGTTTGCTCCACTCGCAGGCTTGCAAGGCCTCGCAAAGGACTCTGAGGTGGGGGCAACGAGGAGAGTGTCGGCATCGTAATTATCCGACCAAGTCTCCTGTCGGTGAATACCCCACCTCAGGCACTGTTGGCCTGGACGGCTGGGGTGTGTTCTCTGCTCTGGTGGAGGACGGTTGTACTTTTTCGGGCTCTTGTTTCTGGCCTCCGTCCATGCTTGTTCTCGCCGTTGTGGACGGCCTGGGGTGTCCCCAGCCGTCCAGGCCAACAGTGCCTGAGGTGGGGTATTCATCGACAGGAGACTTGGTCTGATAGTTACAATGCCGACACTCTCCTCGTTGCCTCCATCTCGGAGTCCTTCGCGAGGCCTTGCAAGCCCGCGAGTGGAACAAAGTATCACACGAAGACGACGACTTGAACGACTCTGAGCATTGGCTCATGGAATGTTCGCTCTGTTGTGGAGAGTGACGGATCAGTTCGAACGGCAGCCGTGAGAGGAATCGTTTCCGACGATGGCAAAATCTTTCAAATAGTTGAACATCTTGACACTATGTGTGTTTTCTGCTCTGGTGGAGGACGGCTGTACTTTTTCGGGCTCTTGTTTCTGGCCTTGGTCCGTGCTTGTTCTCGCACACACACACAATGCATGCAGTCACACACATATGCACATTGGAATTCATTCACGCATGCGTACACCCATGCATACACCCATGCATACACCCATGCACACATACATGCACACACTTGTGCGCACACACACACACACACACACACACACACACACACACGACATGTACCGGTGCATGATGTGACCAGAAGGCCTTAACCAATGTGTTCAAGAGTTGCTTGCTCATCAAATGCACCTTGGCTTTCTGGCACAAACAACTGGTCCAGTGAGGAGGAGAGGGAAGGGGGGGGGGGGGGGAGTTTGAACAAACTGTTTTCCTATTAGGATTGAATAGTGCGGTCCAATGAACAGACAATGTGCAGTGCGCATACATCTAAAAAAATGACGGCACAAAACAAATTTGACGGCATGAACTATAATGTAGAGTGTTTGCATTACCTGAGGCGCTACGCTACCCTTGATGGAGCCTGCAATCTCACTGGAGAACAGGTTGTACAGGAAGCTTAGAAAACACAAGGAGAAAAACGAGACAAAAGCAAACATCATTCCTCTGCACAGGCCATAGTGCTTGTCGCTTGTGATCTCTACTGTTTCATTCTTCCAACCATGCATATCTGTGATGATGTAGTGTGTGTACTTCAGTGTAGTGGGTACACTGTGCTGTTTGTGTCCAGTATGCTGCAGCTAGTTTTGCAGATGATGCTACAGCAACATGTATGTGTATGTACAATGATCACACAGCAATGACGCAACCACGTCCTTTTCCGATGTTACTCAGAGATTCGTGTGAAACACTCATCCGACAGCATGTACGTGTGTGTATGTATGTGCACTAGAAATGTGTTGTACTAAACGATGGCGAAACACTCATCCGACAGCATGTACGTGTGTGTATGTATGTGCACTAGAAATGTGTTGTACTAAACGATGGCGAGTGCATGCCTGCTTACCTAGCTCCACCATGAAAGTCAATACCCATATGTCCAATGTTGGCAGAGCATGCATCACAGCTGATTGTTGCGTGGCCTTTGGCATCCGCACCTGACATCAGAATGAGAGCAAAGTTGGAAAGCTGCTGTAGACTGAGCAAAGAGCCTATAATGAAACTGACAATTGCTTGCTGGTCAAACGTGGCTGCATCTACCTAGGATTGCTTGACTTCTTTACAGTTACATGACTTGTATAGAAGTTGCTTTAGTTTAGCACAGCAAATATTCATTCCGAGCAGTGCAGTCACATATATTGAATTCAGTAATAATACACAGAGGATCGTGAAATGCTGTATTTTCCGCTGTATAAGTTGCACCCGTGGAGATAATATCCGGCGTATCCCCCCCCCCCCCCCCCCCCCATGTAAGCAAGATGTCACTTTCAAGATGCTTGCTTCCACGCAAATGCATCACCGTGTCCAGTGCACACGGCCACATCTGATTTATGTCCTAGCGTAGAGAGGTAAAACTGCGTTATATACCCCCGTCGTAAACAGTGCCGGCGCCGGATAACTCAGTGCCACTCACCCACAGTAAGCGTGAATGACATGGATACATCACTGATGCTGACATCGCATGTACCCGAGTCCGAGACGTGTGGCCTGTGAAGAAAGCCAGTCACACGAATACACATGTGATGGGCGGTAAACTCGGCATCGCGCCTGTCACACTTTACATGCATTGCATCGTCTCCCTGAACCAGGCGCCATCCAGCCACACCGAGGCTCCGCCTTACTAGGCAGTGTCAATAGGCTCAATACTCTTCAAGCTGCCCAGCACTTGAAGTCAGACAATGAATCCACACTTACCCCCCCCCCCCCCCCCGCACACACACACCGTGTACTGTACATGTATGTAGCAGAAATTTGCACTGTAGTATTCAAGGACCATTTCTTTGGCTATTGTGTACTTTTGTTAGCCCGATGCACTCAGTGCCCCGCGGATTACGTACTTGTATGTCCTGCATTGTTTATAAGGACCTAATGGCCCTTGCCTTCAGCCTACAAGTCTGCTAGCCGAGTGGTAGTGTCTTTACCCCGTGTACGAGAACTCCCGGGTTCAGATGACAGGTGCATGCTTCTCACCTACGTTCTTCAATAATTTTACGAACGATAACTTTGATGGAAATTACTAAAGTAATACCAGTTACCTACACCGCACCCCTCTGCTTTCTTCATCTTTATTGGTACCTTTTCGGAAGAGGGGGAGAGATGGGGTGGGGGAGGGGGTGCAATGTTTTGGGTACCGACATGCAATTGCATCAACAATACTCGGGAACATACTGCATATAGCACGCAGAAACTTCAGCATACAATACCCTGGATATGACATACTATCGGCTATAAAGCACAATATTTTAGGACCCTGCATTATACCAAACCAGTCAATTAACCTTGGGCATAGAGTACCTTGGCTATATACTAGTATGCAATACAGCTTTTTTTCACAGCCCTTGGGGGTAGCCCTCAGCGGATAATGCCGGCAGAATAAGCGGCAGAGTTTGGTGTTGCTTGCTGGTATGTGTTATACATGTTTGCCATATGGAAGAAGAGGAACAGAAGAGGAACAGAAGAGGAACATAATCCGAGGAATCGCCATAAGCTTTGTGTGGCTCTGCTAATTTCAATGCTGTTCGAGCAAAGCCCGGCAATTTTCCGAGCATTATCCGCCAAGCAGCCTGCTTGGGAGTATGGTGCACTGCAGTTTCACTGCACTTATACTTGAGAGTGCATAACGACGGTCACAGACTTGTTGGTATCTTATACGTGTACCATAGCATAGCTGCAGCACACACCAACCAATCACTCACCACCAGTCCATGCGATAGTGCCAGTTGCCATGGAGAGTCATGGTGGCACCACTCCCGGCCACCGTCACACCAGTACCAGGCACAATGGCCACACTTGACGTGGGAATGTTGAATGACGTCACGCGAATGCTGGAAAGGACAGAACAAGCAAAAATTGCAAAAATCAGTCCCTGTGGTACAATAGAACAAAGACCAAGTCGGAAAGAAAGGATATTGTGAGAATATGCAGCAATTTCTAATCACATGCATTTAGGCACTGTTTGCTACCCTTACATACTCTAATATTCGCATAGCCGAAGCCCATTAAATAGTATCAATACAAATCCCCATTGGGTTTATGTCAGTATAAGCAGGGGAGGGAGATGGAGGGGAGGAGGGGAGGGAGGGAGGGGAGGGGAGGGGAGGGAGGGGAGGGAGGGGAGGGAGGGGAGGGGAGGGAGGGGAGGGGAGGGGAGGGGAGGGAGGGGAGGGAGGGGAGGGAGGGGAGGGAGGGGAGGGAGGGGAGGGGAGGGAGGGGAGGGAGGGGAGGGAGGGAGGGGAGGGAGGGGAGGGAGGGGAGGGAGGGGAGGGAGCGGAGGGAGGGAGGGAAGGAGGGAGGGGTATCTGCCAAGTCAGTTTCTACAGCAATGCACTGGACAACGACATGCCTCAGCAAAGGCCTTACGATGATAGGGAATAGCTGGTATCATCCGTATCACCGCTGATATCAGGAATCGTAATCTGACCGATCTCCTGCTCGAGAATCGGCAGGCCAACAGAGCGAACTATATGCAGACAAAACAAAACCAAAGAAGATCACACACTCGATACAGGAAAATTTAATTCAGCTTCCTGCCTGCGTTGCATGTTTTGACTGCATCTGCTCACTGCACTTATAAATGAGTTTTCCTGATCTTCTTCATTTTGCCTCTTATTACTTCTCTTCTACTAGATAGACCCTAGACAGCCATCGCTTGCCTCTGGAGAATTGGATAATATATAGAGAAACACACATTATTTATACTTCAAAGTAGAAACACAACCAATCCACAACCAACGGACAACTATTCGTTTGGACAGAAACCTTTTTCTCCAGAATTCCCCCGTGACTACTTCTGGTAGATGAAATGAGAAAATGAAAGGAGCAGCTCATGGTAGCTGAAAATAAAGCTACCATGCAGTACAGGTGTCAAATGCAGCCGTAAGATGGGAGCCAGCAACATGGTGCAAAGGACACCACGTGGCAAAGCGAAAACACACAGCACACTAGTATAGATTCAGACACTGCCAAGAAGAGCAAGGGGTGACTATAGGTGCTGTCATTCGCACCATTTTTCTGACTCCAGCCTTGATGCTGCATTTGACACCTGTGCATGGTAGCCTTATTTTCTGCTACCATGAGCTGCTCCTTTCATTTTCTCATATCATCTACCAGAAGTAGTCATGGATGAATTCTGGAGAAAAAGGTTTCTGTCAAAACGAATAGGTGTCGAATGGTTGTGGATTGGTTATGTATCTATCAATAGATGCCATATTGTCTTCGACTAGAAACAAACAGTAACCGTGATTTTCACATCCATAAGATTGATGTGGTTGAAACGTGAAAAGTACGAAGAAAAATTGACTGCCACCACCAGGACTACCACCAGGGACCCTCGCCTATGGCCAGCGATGCTCTGCCACTAAGCTATGGTGTAGACGTCATCCAAGCAGCAGCCGCTCAACATTTTCTTCAAACTTTGAAACTCACGCTTCCTGTAAATCCACACCGGCTGCGGGGGGGGGAGGGGGGGCACAGCCCTCATTGCAACCCACACACGTCACGTACAAACTAGCAGGGACGCGGGCAATTTGCACAATTGAAATATGCGTTGGTATAGATTTTGTGCCGTATTGATTGTCCTCCCCCCCCCCCCCTCCTTGTGAAGAGGCTTCATGGTTGCTCCTCGTGGAAATCAAGTGCATTACAGTAATGTGACTAATGTCACTGAGATGTGAATTTGAACACTTTGATGGATCGGCCCGAGCCTCCCATGAACATAACAGCTTGAACATGACAGACCAGATCAGATTGTACTTTAGATTGAAATTTAGTACTATTTCATTAGCATCCCATCTTGTGATTGCCATCAAATGACGGCACTGAGCAAGATGAGACTGGTTGGGAACTGCTGAGAGCAATAAACTTAAATGCCTAAACAGCGCAAAGTAACTTTTCACCAAGTAAACAGCAAACTTAATTTTTGGCTGCTCCCCACCCCCTCCCATCCCTGAACAATTTGTCAGAGCTTAGTGGTGTATTGATTATTGCCCGCATAAGTCAATACTAAATGAAATATAGAATGAGTAAAAGACCGGGGCGAAGCCGAGGTCTTTTACTCATTCTATGTTTCATATAGTGACCACACATCAACATCACACTGTTCCTAACGTTAGATCATGGACTGTTCATACATGACTGATTGTGCTCGGTAGTACAGTACTGCTCAATGGAACTGATCCGATCATGTCACTCAAGTACGTGCCGGGGGGGGGGGGGGGGGGGGGGGGGGTTGCGCAGCCCTAGACCTGCAAACACTGACTGGGCTGCAAAATGGTACAAGGCGCACACTCTACTCACACGATCGGATTTTATTGAACAACACTGTACATGCGTCACATTGTTGTTGGTGGTGGATATACCAGTATGAGTACTCCACTGTGACCTGATCCAAAAGGGTTACTGTAACCAGTGTCTTTGCCCGGCCAGTCATGATGTGCATGCTAGAGGTCTGGCAACACCCGACTGCACCATGCCGTGTGTCAATAGCCGTGGTGGTGGTGGTGGTGGTGGTGGTGGTGGTGGTGGTGGTGGTGGTGGTGGTGGTGGTGGTGGTGGTGGTGGTGGTGGTGGTGGTGGTGGTGGTGGTGGTGGTGGTGGTGGTGGTGGTGGTGGTGGTGGTGGTGGTGGTGGTGGTGGTGGTGGTGGTGGTGGTGGTGCTGCTGGTGCTGGTGGTGGTGGTGCTGCTGGTGCTGGTGGTGGTGCTGCTGGTGGTGCTGCTGGTAGTGGTGGTGGTGGTGGTGCTGGTGATGCTGCTGGTAGTGGTGGTGGTGCTGGTGCTGGTGGTGCTGGTGGTGCTGGTGCTGGTGGTGGCGGTGGTGGTGGTGGTGGTGCTGGTGGTGGTGGTGCTGATGGTGGTGGTGCTGGTGCTGGTGGTGGCGGTGGTGGTGGTGCTGGTGCTGGTGGTGGTGGTGCTGATGGTGGTGGTGCTGGTGCTGGTGCTGGTGGTGGTAGTGGTGCTGGTGGTGGTGCTGGTGCTGGTGGTGGTGCTGGTGGTGGCGGTGGTGGCTGTGGATGTGTGAGCCGACTGACTGGGTTGGCTAGTACTGCTGCTGGGCCATGGATGAGGTGTTTGCAGGTGGGCTGGATAGGGTGCTTGCATGGGGAGATGGGGTGGAAAGGGTGCTTGCATGGGGAGGAGGGCTGGAGTATGCTGCTACATTGCAATCTCTTTGGGTTCTCTTTGGGTTCTCACGGGATTTTGACTTCACTGTGGCTGCTGCTGCTTTGAGGTGTGAAAATGAGCCTAGTCCTTTGGAGGTATTTGACATTTGCCACACATAATACACTTGTGTTTGAGTACCTCCCAGCTCTTGCTGGTCCAGCCACTGTAAACTGTTATCCCAGAAGGACACACATTTGCTGGTTTGAACTACTTGTAACCTTGTTTTAGCAAGGTATATACAAGTATGTACAATCATGTACATAATATTATTGTCCTTCCCTTCCCCGTCCGTGCCATGGTCAAACTGTTGTGAAACAGGGAGGGTCTCGCTCAACATTCAATAAGCCACACACACAGAATACACTCAGGGGAATAGATTGATTTGCGGCTACCTATATGCTGTGCACGTGGTGTTTCGGACCTTCGTACAATGGTAGATTTAGAATAGCGCGAAGTAACAGTTGATCATCCCCCTTTCATTCATAGGCAAAGGGCCTGACGTGAGGAGCATTTTGTGACCAAATCAAATCGAGACCTGTAGGTGGTCCTGAAGCCAAGAGCAGATCTAACGTTCCGCTGTCTGTGCAAATGCCTTACTGTAATCTAGGCCTTTCTGGGTGAGCTCGGTTCGGAAGCCTGGCGAGGCCGCAGAGCTTAGCGACACCAGTGCCAGTAGCAGCACAACACAAGCAGCGTATGTACTCGGCATGATTGCGATTCCTCCTGTCCTGTGACTTGACGTCATACAGAGTGAAATTACGACGAGTGAATACCTCACCGAATTCCGTTGACAGCGAGAGCAGCTATCTCTCGCTGGCTGACGACTTGTTCGTCACGGTTTACTGCTAGGAAGTACTTGAGCGGACACGAAGACCACGAAGTGCACGGTCTTCTTGTTCAGAACTGGCTAAAACTTAAAAGAACAAATATGGGAAGCGTTTCAAACGTTTCTAACTTCTGTATGTGTATCGGGGTCTTGTTGATGTGTTGCATCCAATGAAGTGAGTGGAGGATTGTCCCGGTAGGTGGATCCGTGCAGGTCAGGGTTCATCCATACGCCACTGGTCTCCAGACAGTCTTCATGTAATGTACAATGGAGGAGCACTTTGCCTCGTCTGCAGTCCTCTGCGTGCTTCGGTTGTGTAGTGTGTGAGCATCGATTTCTGACTTGATCACCTGACTTGCACCCCAAGTCACCTGGTACATCTACGGTCGGTACATGTCTCCATGATCTCCTTCTGTCACTGTCAGTCTCACCAGACACCAGGTCACTGTCGACTGCTGTCTACAATCTACACCATATCTGGCCCTCCCTCTGTCTGACTGAGCCTTAGCCATAACCAGGCCCAGCCTAGCCACTAACACAAGAAGTGTGACTCGCTTGTCGTCCATTGCATATCAGAGACTAGCAGTTATTCTCCCCATCCAGCGGGGTGCTAGCTGTTACACTCAACACCAGTGTCTGCTAGTGCTTGGCGGATAATGGAGGCAGAAAAATGGCAGCATTTGGTACTTTTTCTGGTATGTTTCATGGCATGTTTGGTATGTAGATAAAGAAACGGAGCAGGGAAATACAATGTACCTGCCATAAGGTTTGTATGGTTCTGCCAATTACAACACTTCACTGCTTTTCGAACAGAATCTGTCAGTTTTTCGAGGATTATCGGCCAAGGGCTAGCGTCTACCATGTTCTACTGACTAACGTTATAACCAGGGAGTCGCACAGGCCTGACTCCCTGGTTATAAGTTATAACGGATGACCAGTGACTTGTGTCGTAGACGAGTAGCTTCTTCAACATGACTACTGCGACAGTGTAGATTTACATTACATGTAGATCATTAATTTTTTTTAAATGATAATTATGTAGATCTACACTTGGATGGAGAGCCAATAGTGGAGAAAAGGACCAAGGAACTACAAGTTATGCTTTAATGCTATAATATCCACCAACACCACCAGTTATTTGACAATCAGCTCATGCGATAACATTACACAAAACTGACTGACAGCGCTGACGTTCTACAGTGTTGTGTAATGTTATCGCATGAGTTGATTGTCAAATAACGGGTGGCGTTAGTGGGGCATTATAGCGTAACTTGTAGTTCCTTGGTCCTTTTTCTCTACTATTATATTAGCATAGATCTACACTTGTTGTCTGTTGTTCGTTTTATTTAGAGTGGAGTCTTAGTCGGAGGGAAACAAATCAGCACACGAAGCACAGAAGCCCTTTTGTGCCATTACCTTTATTTAGAGTCGATAAACAAGAAGGCAAATAATTCCATGACTCATGAACATAACGGTACAAGTAACTCATTCAAACTGTTTGCACTAATGGCAAGTAATGCTGACTGTAGCTTAGTCCGTTCGGAGAAGAGGTTACCCAGGGCCGAACCACTTACTCTGCTGATATTGTTGTGTGGAAAGGAAAAGGGCTGGAGGTTCGGAAGGTTGAGCAAGTCCATAATGACTTTAAGATATCAAGGAGTGTCCAGATGCTATTCTGGGTGTTTTCTTCTCTTTACCGGATGCTTCTTTTCAATCTCTTGTGACAGTAGTACCTGTGTGTTTATCTGGACGATATCGTTCTGGCAACAATACTAATCACTGACTTGAGTGCTGCCATTGTATTCCCTTCAAGTATACACAATGTAAAAGGAAGTTTGTGTGAATGGGACTCAGGCGCTCGTATTTACCTACCGGCATATCACACCATAGCCCGGTTCGTCTGGTTCCGTGATACACACACATACACACACACACACACACACACACACACACACACACACACACACACACACACACACACACACACACACACACACACATTTATGCATGCTTCACAATACTTCTTTCCTTTCTTCTTCCTTTTGTGAGAGCTTGGACAATCCACTTGTCCAGGCAAGAAGGCAGCAATTCGTTCTTTTTATTATTATTATTGCAAATAACGCTGAGTAATAACACGATGTATAAAACCAGCATTGGCTTCCAGTCAAAACCTCCATGGCACAAGAAGCACTGTTTCCACTTGACGAAGGCTGCCCAGGGAACGTGTCCAGATTCGGACGCGATTTCAATGTGATCTACTGGCTTAGCATCAGCTGAGCCGGGTAAGTAACTTCAAGAACACTCTATCGCTGGTCACCGGCGCCTGGTGGCTTAGCGATATATGACCATACCCCAGGTCGCAAGGAGATTGAGAGCGTTGGTGAAGAGCATACATATACATGCACAATGTAGACTAGTAACAAACGAACATCAACGACTACTGACGTTCCTTGCTCCGGAGTCCGGACACCGTCCGGGGTGTGCATTACCCGCCATATAATGCATGTTGTTGTTTGTTGTTTTTGTTGCTGTTGTTGTTGTTGTTGTTGTTGTTGTTGTTGTTGTTGTTGTTGTTGTTGTTGTTGTTGTTGTTGTTGTTGTTGTTGTTGTTGTTGTTGTTGTTGTTGTTGTTGTTGTTGTTGTTGTTGTTGTTGTTGTTGTTGTTGTTGTTGTTGTTGTTATTAGCACGACGCTCTAACGGACTGAGCTATGGGAGCTCATAATTTTGTTGTTGTTGTTGTTGTTGTTGTTGTTGTTGTTGTTGTTGTTGTTGTTGTTGTTGTTGTTGTTGTTGTTGTTGTTGTTAACATTTTGTTTATTTAGTTTACATCGCATGGCAAACGGGCAGTTCTGGCCACTATTATGAAAGCGATGACAATCGGTAAGAACAGTACAGTCATGTACATTGGATAAAAGCACACAGTTAGTGTCTCCAATAATGGATCCCTGTGTCCTTCGGAAATCCTGAGATGAAGAATATTTTACAATTATGTACATGCCTAGGCTCGACCTTTAACAAATTTAATTAATGTCCTTGTGCGAGGGCGATCCTAATCAGCTGACAATGGGTATACCGGGTAGTTGCGTGTGTTTGCGTACTTTGCTGATACGTATTGGTGGAGTGCGCAAACGTATAACTACATTGTACACCAAACAGTTGATAGACACAGATAGTACAGTGCAGTGCTGTACATGTACATGTCATGATGTGCTAGGTGCGTCTGGGTCTGCATTGTAGCCATTGAATAGCAATTGTATAATGTAATGTACAGTGTGTATGTCTTGCTGATTCAATGTGTGAAAACTGAATGCTGCGGCTATTTTAGACTACACTGTCTACAGTACTAGTACCCGCAATTCACCAAACATCTTCAACTTCTTGCACGTAGTCATACATGTAGATGTTTGTCACTTTGTTAGTGGGGCATCATACCCCGCTTGTTTTGTATTTAGCTAATTGCATGTCATGTACTTAGAGAATACTGGCTGCACATACTCGGTTACTATGGTGTATTGTGTTGCATGCACACAGTGCTATGAGTATGAATAGGATCTGCAATGTCATGTACATGTACAATTGTAGGAGTGGACCAGGATCTAGGAGTCCAGGACAGCCGAGAGCATCAGGCCATCAGCCACACATTGACTACAATACTTGTACGCACGGTCTGTACTCCTTGCGCACTGTTGAGAATATGAATCATGATGATCACTCTCTCGAGCTCTCCTCGACTAAACAGTCAACTAGCAACATAGGCGGAGCAGCAGCTACTACTACTACTAGGATGCATTGAGATAACTGTGTGCGTGGGTGTTGCTCTCATCGTTATCCACATATCTAGGTTCAGAATGCATTCCTGTGCAAGTGTCCTTTACTCACGAAACAGAAATACAGGTGCAAGCGCTGGCAACGATGTTCTACTAATACTGTAGTACTATACTGGCCACTGCCGCAACCGTAAAGATGTAGGAACGGATTTGAAGTGCCAACCTAGCTCCAGCCCTCACTTCGCACATAACGTTTACAGTCCGGCTAGAATCGTAAGGAGAAGTCCGGTGTCCGGCTGAGCTCCACTTTACCTTTATCACCTGGTGGCAAAGAGCCCTTTGAGCCAACCCACGTTTTTGCTGAGAGGTACGGTTGAGAGAGGTGCTAGGCAGTGCCAGGAATGTGTCATGATTTAACCAACCTGCATTTCATTCGTCAAGCACTGCGTGGTACTACTTGATTTTAGCTACCTACAATGTACCTAATAAATAGCACCCACAAACACACCAACAGAGACTATGGCCTCCGAAATCTAAATCCATAATCGGAATCTGGCTCCATAGGCCATCACAACAACAACAACACACAACAGTGACGAAAACTGAGCCTCTGAATGTGACTGCTTCGTAACTATTCAATATTTTGGAAGCCATCCATCTAACGTTTCGTAACTATTCAATATTTTGGAAGCCATCCATCTAACGTTTCGTCCATCATGCTGCTGGTGTCGAGGTTGGAAAACTTACATTGGGCACACTACGCTGTGACTACAGAGTGCAGACTGCAGTAACACTTACGGTGTCACAATGGACTGGCAGTCTGCCACTTCACAATGGGACACAACAAAGAACGGTTCACGCCATGGAGTGAACCACGAACCGAGCTTGAACGTGCTCAGTGACCCACCTGAGGAGCACACGTGTATGTAGACTCTCCTCTTCGTACTCCATTGTTTATAATGAGCATCGATATCAAGAGTCCATAACCCCCCCCCTTTCTCTCTCTATCTATCTATATATCTATCTCTCCCTCCCTCTCTCTGTCTCTCTCTGTCTCTCCCCCCTCCTCCCTCCCTCTCTGTCTCTCTGTCTCTCTCTGTCTCTGTCTGTGTCTCTGTCTCTGTCTCTCTCTGTCTCTGTCTCTGTCTCTGTCTCTTTCTGTCTGTCTGTCTGTCTGTCTGTCTGTCTGTCTGTCTGTCTGTCTGTCTGTCTGTCTGTCTGTCTGTCTGTCTGTCTGTCTCTCTCTCTCTCTCTCTCTCTCTCTCTCTCTCTCTCTCTCTCTCTCTCTCTCTCTCTCTCTCTCTCTCTCTCTCTCTCGCTCTCAATTACTATTACTAATAATCTGTATTTCAGGACTACCCAAAGGCTAGCGATATATCGGGGGGGGGGGGGGGG